TATGCATTCCTGGACCTCTGCATATTAGATACAGGGAAAATGTGATTTCCCCCTCCGCACCACTCCCCATCCACCCCTGCTCCCTCCCAACTCGAGATTTTGTCTTGAAGTTTGGGTAACTAGTCGTTGATGATCTGTCCCCTCCGTATGACCATGTGATGATCCAAGATACTTACAGCCATTCAGATGGGACACAAGTTGCCTGTATTCTTATTATTAAAACAAACCATACACAAAAATAAACACAATTGTGTCCAAGAGCCGTTTTAGCTTAACAATCTTTTTTTCTGCAGCTGTTGGTGTGTTTTGTATGCTTTTTGAGGTGCTGCTTTCCAGGTTTTGACTCTTACTTGAATGTTTCTTGTGGTTTGATTATTTATACGTGATAGAGTGCTTTTCCCTTGTGAAGTTGAAGTCCTGTTTGCTTGATTCAACTCGGACTCCTGGTTTTATTTTTATTTAAGATAGAGTACTATATGGCTGGCTGACATTGTTGAGCTTTTCAGACTAAATGTGAAATAATTTGGAGGAAAGCAATTGCTTTAAGCATCAAGTCTTACTGTTAACCTGATTTTACTTCCCACGACCATGGCCAGGTGGCTTTTGAGTATCTCCAAGGATGGACGTGTATGTTTAAAGATGCATTTAGAAATCAGCTTAGATATTTTTTAAATTCCCAAGGCTTATGTCTGAGTTGACCCTTCTGCTTGCTTCTCTAGCATGTTAGTCATCAGCAGGGAAACAAGAGGAACAAAATTTGATGCCAGTCTTCCAAGAGACAAATTTTTAAAGTGAAATCGTGAAAAGACAATAATGACTCTTCTCTGCTGTTTATTGTGAATACAGATATTCCAGTAGAGCCCTTTGCAGGCATTTTGGTTTTCATGCTCAGTCTGTTTGGATCTTTAGTTCAGATGTAGGAATTGTAGGAGGTCTTTGACTGAAATCTCTGAGATTGCCTAGAAGGGCTGAATGCATCAGAGATCATAAATGTACTCTTCTTGTCAGTGTCTAGGATGACATTGAAGTGTGCAAACTAGTTCAAGATGTTTCTACATCTTTTGAAGAACAATATTTGGGATGATAGTCAAGAAGCAGTGAAGTTATAGCAGTGAAATGTTACGTGAATGTTACCAGTGCTGTGGAAATTACGCATGCCAGTCACCATAACAGGGTTCGACTCTAGGTTTCCACATAAGCCCCAAGATAGATTCCTTTATGAAAGTACTTCTTATTAATAGCGCTGCAGCTTGAGCTGGGTGCCTCTGAAGAGGGGCACCGAACAGAGAAATCCCTGGGCAATTATACCCTTAGAATCGAAGTTCCCCACCCCTCACGTGATAGTTCAAACCAGTAGTAACTGGTCTGAGATCTTCTTGCTTTTCATTAGTTTGATTTGTTTCCTGTTTCGTTACTAAGCGGTTGCTAAGTGGTCATCTTCTTATACAGTATCACGTCCTTCCAGGTTGGTTTCAGCCAATTCTGTAGTTAGTTATTCGGCACGTTGTAGTGTGGTCATTACAGTTCACATGCCACGTCTATAGGCTTTGTCTACTCTAGTTGTTATTAATTTTTAAGCTGCTAGCTTTGTCTGCTATAGCTATTATTAATGTTCAAGCTGCTAGCTCGAAGCTAACTTTTTCTACAACACCAGTTAGAAATATCACTGTGTCTAATCTTTTGTCAAGACAGATGACTTCAATTTTATTATTCCACTTGCCCTGTTTTAGAATATCATCCTCTCCTGGTTGCTATTTGATAGATGTGCTCAGAGTGATTTGTTTACTAGCCAAAACCAGATGGAATGGTTAAATAGCGTTTTTGAAACAATGGGTGACATGAAGAGAGTCAGGATGTTGTAGTTGTTTTGTGCTGCTTTCATTCTGCATTCTTGTATATTTCTGTTAGACATTTAGGTGCTAAGTAAACTAACCTAAGATGCCTCTTTTTCTTTCTCCTTAGCTTCCAGTAAGAAGTGTGAAAGCCCGCCCTAAGAAGAAAGCTGCAGGCTCTCTTGCTTCTGGCGAGTCATCCTAAAGAGACATCCCCCTCCCCAGCACCTATCGCTGTCCCGGGATTTGCCTGTCACTTTTGAGGGGAAATTCCCCAAAGGAAGGGAGCTGAGATTCATGTACATAACAGATACTGCTTTGTAGAGCTCATTCCAAGGCAAGGGGGAGGCTGGGATTCCAAAAATGGAGTAGAGGATACACATCCTCAGGAATTTTCCCGTTTTCATCTCTTTGTTGGTGGGAATGCTGGTATGTCTGTACATAGCTTGTTGCTTTGGAATTCCCACTGTATAACCCTAGTTGGGAAGAAACTTTGCTAGAAGAACTGACTGGGGTTAGAGACATCCATTGCACAGAAGCTGGGAAAATACTAGACACTGGAGTTCCACAGGGGTGGATGGCTCCCTAAAATGTCTGATCTTGCTCTGGGTATTCTTCTGCAGCTGTGTGGTGTTAAGAAGTGCCCACCATGATTCATCCTCTTTAAGAATGGACAGTATCTGTCATGTCCATCCCCTTTGAGAAGGTGACTGAAATTATGTATTCTGAGTGCTTTTGAACATAATGGACTAGCTCATGAGAGGAATTTGCTAGATTGCCATTACTAGTACTGGAAGATGAAGAGATTGGTTTTTATTTTACTTTTTCTGGAAGGTGAAGGGAGATAATTGAAAAACTGAGTTAGGAAGAAAATGTGCTGTTATATGCACGTGTGATGGAGTAGATACAGGTATCTGTAAGAGTTAACTGTTGAGAAGGGAAGTTGGGCATCCGTAAGATTTTGGCTCTTTTTGAAGCTGCTTGAGTTTTATTTCAGGTTCTGTTATTCACATTGATTCCTGAGAGAGCATGAAAGTGAGGCGAGTCCTATGCGGTGGGAAAAGTTCACAGGGAGATTGTTGCTTTACGGTTAGTGATTGAACTCCATGTCATCTTGATGCTTGTTAGTACGGATAAATTATTTCATTCTAGCAGATGACCAGGGAAAATCTGGCTCAATATCGTCTGCGGGCATACTTGAGAATTTCAGAAGCCCTTATCTCTCTCAGCTTTAGGAGATCCAGTCCTCGGGGCATGAGAACTGATAAATAACAGATGTATGAATTCCACTAATTCCAAGATTCCATTTATAGGGGATAAAAAGCAGGGAGTAGGGCACAATACTGTGATGAATCAGTCCTCTTGCTTTATCCTACTGCAGCCCTTGCACAAATTTACTGTCTGACCACGTGCCATGTTTATCGATGTCCTGAGACTTGAGCAATATCTAACACTTGGGACAGAACTACACTGAATGTAGAATATGTGTTGTGAGATTGAAATTGCAGTGCTGCAGAGAAAATTTGCATCGTGCCAAGCCATACTGGATTCTAATCTGTTGAACATGAAGGGGAGATCCCCCATACACATGTCAACAGAGTGGGAGTTTGCGAGATTAGTAGGGTTCCTGTTGTCGAGATCTGTAATGAGGGAGCACCATTATAGACATGATGGTCTGAATGAATACTTGATCGTCTTAATCTTTACTGAAACTTATCAGAGGAATGTGGCTCTTCCTTCCCTGCTGAAGACCATTCTTAGCTGTAGGTGCAGACATTTGTGTTTGCCCACGTTTTTTTGCTCTCACGTTTCTGAAATAATGATAGATTCTTCACAGAGCCCAGTATTTTGCTGTTGACAATGTACAGAAGCACTTCTGCAAGTAACTTCCACAAGCATTTCTGTCCTAAAGAACAGCCCTTCAAAATTTTGTAAAGTTGAAGATTAGGACTGAATATTTTCAATGAAGTAAAAGTAAAATTTTCAAGTAATCTTTCCATAGCAAATTATTTATGTAAATCATCCTGAGGGACTTAATTTGGAAGCCAAGGATTGGTTAGTCTCCCCTTACACTGATCTTCGTGCATTTTCCTTGTGCATGCATTGTGATAGTCTCAGATTACTTGATTTTCATACAGTGATTTTCCAAAATGTTTTCTAGAATCAGTTGATTTGTAGTACCTCTTCCTGCTTTGAGGCACAGGAAGAATTTCTGAAGACTCAGTTTTGGCATTTGGATTTACTTTTGTCTTCCTGAGCTAGGTCCTGTGCTAAGTATCTTTTACTTAGCGTTGATGCTTGGTGTCATTAGCCTGCGGGTAAGTACAGGTCAGTCTTACTCTGACTTTTGTTGTACAGGGGAATTAAATGACTTCTGGTTGTAAGAGAGAGTCTGGAGTAGAATCAGGATCTATTATCTAGTGTGTGATACTAAGCTGATGATGTCAAGCAGCAGAACTTACCCAGAGCAAGAACAATGTCTTAGCATGGACACTGTTTGCTTCCAGTACAAATGTGACTGCTAGATTGTATTCTGCTTGATCAAAGCCTCTGCAGACCTGCCGCAACTCACGTGTCCTCTTAGTGAGTTTCTAGATATAGTTTGGCATTGGATGGCAGGTCTCGCATAGAAATTCTCTTGTTAATGAGAACGCTGAATGTGCTGTTTTGATAAAATGCTTTTATCAGCTGTTCAGTATTTTCGTCAGGAAATGCTGGAATGTAGTTTCTCTTCAGTATCATCTATGGGCTTCATTGTGCAGTTAAGCAAATGGTTAAATCTTCGCCTAGCAGTAGAACCCATTGTGTTCAGTAAGTGTTTATACCCCTTTCCTGTAATATGCCTGGGCGTGGAGAGAAATGCAGTAAGAGAAAATGATACTTGAAAGGGGGAGGTGGGGGTGGTAAGTGTGTGTCAAACTTTGTGTGCCTAAAAATTATCGTAGAATACCCATACCGTGAGATACAAAGTGAAGCCATGACTGCCTTTTGGAAAGAAATGTTGTACCTCCATGCTTTATAATACTAAGAGTCAGTGTTCTGCTGTTGGAAAAGAAAATAGTGAAATGTGGTTTCCCTTCTGAGAAATGCAATGATTTGCTGCATAATGTTTTCTTGCTTGGCAGTGTCCTCCACGGTGGGTAAGAAATAGGAAAATATAGAGAGGACTACTGTCAGGTTTTAAGCCCTACACTTCAACTAAACATCTTAATTTCTTACTGTTCTTTATCAAGTTTCTGATTCTCCAGTGTTACATTTCTGAGTCTGGGGGACTGATTTCTTTTAGACTAGATTAACTTCCTTGGTAGGTAGAGGGTGTGTTAGAGAGAGGGATACCGGTGTTCTTCAAAAACGAAAAAAAAAATTGCAAAGCTTGTTCTGGGGAAGCTGCACCTTCCCCTATTTTAGTGAATTGAGTTCCATTCATTGTACTTTTGCAGTGCTGGGCTTGCTTTTTTGTACATCCCTGTTGGAAGTATGACTTCCTCACAATATACTGCCAAGTCATTTCTGCCTGGCATAGCAAGATTTCTAGAGAACTCGACTTTTCCAGAAATTGTTACTTGTTCTTTGCCGTCTTACTCGGCAGGAAATACAGTGCCTTAGGAGGAAACTGGGACAACTAAGGAATACTCTGATGGTTCTCTGATCTGCACGTGGTGTTGTATCCAGGAGGTTTGCATGTTAACTGTGAAGTGTCATTGTATGCTTGAGAGCAGCTGTTGAATAGAGCTGAGTTTTCCTGTCTGTCTTCCAAACTTGCATATTACACTGGGAAGTGTGGCTCATTGCCTAAGAGAGAAATCTAGGGGAAAAAAAAAAAATCCTTCTTTCTGATGGAGACGCTGTATTGGCCACATTACTTTGCTACTTGCTGGGGAGATGCTGAATCACATCTCTCTATGTAACTGGTCAGTACTATAGCTTTTCTTGCTTTACTCACAAAGAATTTGTAATGTGCCACCTGTCTGAAGCATCTTGTGATGCTGCTTTCTGAGTTGACCTGTAAAGCTGGATATGTAGAAAACCAGCAAAGTATTGTGAAGCTATATGAGCTCATAGAATCGTAGAGTCATTGGAGTTGGAAGGGAGCTCTGAAGTCGTCTGGTTCAAACTCCCTGCTCAAGCAGGGCCACCTAGAACCAGTTGCCCAGGAGTTCCTGTGTGCTGTTTGTGAACTGGAGCCAAAAATTTGGTGTTTAAGAGCTGGTATGTGCAGAAATGCATATGCTGTATGGGGGTGTGCTTTAGCATTACTGGGGAGAAAAGATTCCTGGTCACCTTTCATCTGGAATTTGGCACGGTTACAAGACGCTATAAACATAACTCGGTCTTATGTTATTTGTAGGTATTGTTAAGAAGCCTAGAGACTTGAGATCTTAAGAGGTGTGCAGAGTAACTTCTGAGAACGATTGGTTTGAGCAGTAATTGAAGACAATAAACCTGCATAGCAGCTAAGAACCTGTCTTGTGAGATAGATTTAGAGTGGAAAATGGGCTGTGTGCAGTACAGAGTTGTCCAGGAAATACTGCTGACTTTCTGATCCTCAAGCAATACTTAAACTCTGTGCTCTACAGATTAGGGCCTGATTTCTGTCTTACAATACCTCTCTTACCTTTCTAAAGTGGGCTTGAGTTACATGCATTGAGATTCTTGAACCTTTCATCACTTCAGAACAGTAAAGTTTGAATTCTACCTCAGCAGACAACTGATCTGCAGGGAGGACCAGATGAATATCAAGTATCTCGCATCACTTTGTAGTAGGTGTGTTATGCTGGGGAAGTACTGGTGAGGAGCTCCAGAGGATACATTCATCTGGGAAATTACCCTACCCCCCCACCCCCCCAAAGACTACATTTTTGGATGAACCAAATCCTGGACTTCACTACACTCATATACACGGCTGTCTGTAGAATCCCAAAATTCAATGTCAGAATTGCCAGTGCTCTATTTGTGATGAGAACTGGAATCAAAATAATACGAAGTGAAAAGAAGCAGTGGCAGACTGGTGTTTTTTTTCTGCAGTTTTCCAGGTAAATTTAGGTCTTTGCTGCTTCTTTGCTTAAAACCTTTCTGTAAACCCCTTGCAAGCAAACCGTTACTTCCTTGCTCTGTTTCTCAGCTCCTGTTCTTTCATGACCTGCTTATGTTTCTTACATTTTCTCTTACTAAGCAAGGGACTACTTCTGTTTTACTGACTGGAGACATTAAAAATACTGTCTTTTAGAGCTGAAATTTAGCCTTTTTCCGTTATTTAATCCTATGACCTAGAATCATACAGTGAATTGTACAACAAGGCCTAAGGCTGGATTTCCAGGGGGAATATGAGCATCTGTTGCCAGTAGCATAGTTTGATGTATTTCCCTTTTCTTGCAGTGAATTGATACATGCTTTACTGCAGATCCTTTGGACCAAGAGTATTCTGTCTGTATTTAGCCAAATAATGTCAGAAGTAACATTTGTGAGAGGGCTGCAACAGTGAGTGAATTCTAAAGGAGCAAGAGTTCAAGTCTTCTGTAACACGTAACTGTCTGAGACTATCT